GGACTGTGCGGGTAATTAGCGAGGGTATCCCATATCAGTGATGTTGCTTGTATGCCGTCAATTGTTTTTTGATTTATGCAAAAACCAGATTATCTTCGGCTTTTACGTATTTGGGACTAAATTATGCGAACAGATCAGCAGACAGACACATCTATATGTGAGTGTGTGTGTGCCGTCAATCATTTTTGATTTATGCAAAAAAGCATGAAAAGATGAGCGGCGATGCTTTTTTTTCCCGTCCCTGTTGCTGCTGGATGCTGTCTGTAACAGATGGAAGCTATTAATAACAATCTATACACAGAAGTGGAGGGGGAAAAAACTGAACGCTAGAGCAAAAAAAAAAAACAAACCGAAAACCGCGAATAGAAAGCACAGAACGGTGCTCCTCGGCCACATTTCGGGAGCGTACATAATAATAATAACGCAAACGACGATGCTGATGGTGATAACGATGAAGGTGTTGATAATGATGATACCCCGTTTGTTAAAAGCTGTCGTTTTCGTGATAGTGATGCGAACGACTCGGAATCTTCCCAGTAAAACAACTTCCCTTCCTTTTAAATTGCTGTTCTCAGGAAGGAAACAAAACCCTTCTGGCGCTTTCAGGAAAAAACGGCTTGCTAGTTTCTATGGTACCTTGCTAGGTTGGTTTCTACGGTGCCTTGCCAGGCTGGTTTCCGTGGTGCCCCTTGTCTTCTTTGGTTTCTATGACAGTTTGTTGCTGCCCTCTTCTGTTTCGAGTGTTTTTTCTTCTTCCAGTTGCAGGAGACTGCACTAATTCGCCGTTACTTTCGCCGTCAACGACGCTGCGAATGAGGCAATCAACCAAAGCTGCCTCAATTTTAGCACTAAGCGAATGGCGACGATTCTAAGTGCTTCAGAATCCGTATGATATTTTCCCGTTGTTGTTGTTATTCTTCGAAATTTCGACGAAGGGTTCTCGAAAAAGCGCACTTATTCCACAGAGGAAACCGGTTCCAAGCTGGTTTCTGTTGTTGTTGATGATGCGAATGGTGACGATGGCAACGACGATGCCGACGATGATGATGATGGTGAAGCTTGGTGAGGTGACAATAGCAGCAATAACGCGTTGCTTTTGGTTGTTTGCGCCTAGTTTGCTCGTTGAAAAAGCTAAAGCAACAAAGAGTGCACGGCTGGCACACGTTGGTACTAATAATCCGCAGACGTCGCCACAACGAATTCACACCACCTGAGTTGTGCCCAACTCTGGTTCCGCTCGCCGTTGTGGTGGTCCTGCTGCCGGGGTTTCCTTTGAGCAGTTGCGTGAGTGTCCCTCACTCTTCAAGTCACGTTGATAACTGCTTCGTTCAACTAGCCCAGCAGTTTCTCGTTCTTCTTGGCTGGATCCTGTAAATCCGGGAAAGAGTGGCCCTGGCTGCTGTTTTCGTCAAGCTGACAAAGATCCCCCGGGCTTACCTCGCTTGCCACTCTACACGGCTCCAGCTACCGTGTGTAGGTACCACCACCGGCACCACCGCACATGCACACGCGCACACACACACCCAGAATGAGCAGGAAGCTGATCAAAATGGCGCCGTTTTGGTTCTGTTGGCTTTGCTTTCAGTTCTGCTTCCCAGAAAATGTTTGGAGCTTCGCGCACTGGGTTCCTTTGAGTCTGAAATCATATAACTTCAGCAAAAATCTTCCAGAACCGATTATCGTCTGGTGCGCTGCACGAAAAATATGAATTGCTATCATCGCCAGGATCACTTCCAGTGCACAGGGAAGATACGTGGCCAATGTTGCTGAGATGAAAGAATCAACAAAATCCACAAAAAAACAACAACATCAAGCAATTTGCCAAAACTTACCAAAGAATCTATATGAAGATTCCGTTATGCTATAAGCATCATCACAGAAAATATAAGTTCGACAAAAACATATTTCATCAAATGCATAACTACACAGTTTATACATACCAAGAATACCAAAACCGCCGGGACAATCGTGCGAGTATGCCACGTGTCAGTGATTTTACTGAGATGTGCTCATATTCTGCTATGCCCTTCTATCACCTTAGACTGAATACCTTCAGTTGGTACCTGTTGCTTGTTCGATGTATGTGCGTCACTTATTCATGGTTCGTCCGAGTGGCCGTTTGCTCTTAGATGGCTGGCTGCTCGTAGTACCGTAATGCGTAGCTATGAGCATACACTAGTGAGGATAATTACCTTCTTTCTCATTTATCTATATGCAAGCAAAGTCTGATGGATAGCGTTTTGGCTGAAAACCGCGAGATGGATTCGCAAGGCGAATGAACGATCAATCAAGGCGTCTTTGAAGAAAAAACGCAGATAGGTGGTCGCCTTCCCCATAAGCCTGATCCAGAAACGCCGATAATAAAATTATTACAGAAAAAAAAAAAAAAACGTAAAAAACTTATAGCGAAATTTGAAGCTATAACAAGCAAGCACATGGTGCAAAGTGGGAGAGCGGCAGGGGGGCGGAAGGAGGAAAGAGGCAAAATCGCGAGCAGAAGATCGGATAAACTACTGTTAAATGTTACACCGAGGAGTGAAATGAGGGAAAACAGCGAAGTGAAAAAAGGTTCTAAATGGTTCGGAAAACAAATAGTCATTAAAAGAAGACACAGTTATATATTTAACGATGCCGACGGGATGAAAGAAATGAGCAAGAAAAACTGACAAAACCCGTCGGGCTATTGCAAAATTGAACGGACCTACCACCTGTAAACAAGAGAGTCACGTAACACAGACTGAGAGCTGGCAGTGTTCCTGAAAGCCAAACGCACCAGTCTCTGGAAGGATCAAACTCGAAACCTCCTCCGAACTTAACTTTCAGTGAAGGACTCCGCCACTGCAAGCGGAGTGAACAGCACTCATTTACCATCAGCTGGCTTGGCTACAGAGGCTCACCTTCCTCTTCCCGAAGGCTGGCTTGAGAAGCTGAACGACTCAGCTCTGTGTCAATTTATCGTCCAGACGAATTAGCGGCTCGCAGAGGAGCTAATTTTTCCCTCTGACAGACTCGCACCGACGACCCAGGCCCAGCATCAGGCCCCGCTTGTCAGGCTTGTTAGCAGTTATACGCGTATGAGGAAAAGTATCGCTTTTTGCAAGAAATTTAGCAGGAAAGTGCCAGAAAAATCAGACAGAGAGGGAAGGAGTGGGAGAGGAGGAAGTTTGCTGACTGCAAAAATCTCTCCTTTGCATTCCCTCATCACAGACCTCCTCGTCCCTCATCAAATCAGAGCTAGACTAGTCATTTTTTTCCCCCTCCGCCCACGTTCCCCTCAGCGCTGTTTGCGTTGTGACTAAACATATATGCAAATAAACTTGAAACTTGAACACTATTTTTTTTCACGTCTTCACTGAATTGATCTAAGTCTCATTTTCATGTCCGGCCATTTTGAAGAGTTTTACCCTCCCCAATTCAGAAGCCAAAAACTCCGCTACTCCACTGAAAGACAACTAGATTGTCTGTGATTGAAAAACCTCGTCTGCTTGCTATTATAGGCTTTCAGGTTCTTCGTACGCTACGCACTTGGCCGAGCATAATAACTGGAGGCCGGCAGGCCGAGATCAAAAAGCCTGGCTTCTCGAAGCACCCTAATCGAAGCACCAACATGAGATCCCCACGCCGATCGTCCGGAAATACATCCAACAAGACCAGATATTTATGAGTTCCCTATCCAGCAGACTGTAACGGCTCCTCAACTCCCTGATCAGACAAGTTAGAAGCAAAATTTCGTTCCCAGCTCGTAGATACCTCAAACTGTACCACAATGGGGAGGGGAGGGTTCCCAATTTTTGTGTGCATCCTTAAATGTTGACCTCGTGTGCAAAGGGGATTTAAATTTCTGCACACTCCGCCGGTTCGCATATTTTACTTCCCAGACATTATTTCTTTTTACGTCTGCAGCACAGATGTGTGCCATGGCGACTGCTGCTGCTGGTTGAGACAGTTTGAAGGTTAATTTGCATACTGAGCATAACAAGAGGAGGCCAAAAGTCGAAGTGTGCAGAGGAATGAGGGAAAAGCATCTATGCTAATAGGCCATTATGAATGATGTGAGGAGAGTTGCCTGTCAAATTTTCAATTCTCATCTGTCTTTTTTTCCACCTAGAAATGTAAAAAAAAAGAGAGGTCAATGATTAGTTTCTAAAAAAGCAATCCTGAATTCCCAAAACTGCTCTGAAACACGGTCTACTGAGTGAAACTGTGCAAAAAAAAAAAATGCATGCGCACACTGACTTCCCACCAAATACTTGCATTTCTCTCAGTTTTTATCACAAAATTCTGATAACCCTCAAAATACCTCGGTACTTCAACTGATACGAGGTATAAAAACTCACTGGGAAGTAGCATGAACAGAAGCATAATGCCGAAAATATACCAGCTACGAATAATATTGAGGGTAACTCTATTTTTCAAATATTACCAGAAAAATCAAAACTGACCCCTCCTGACGGTAGACATAATAAAGTCTATTTGTTAGTGAAACCAGATGCAGCTTTAATTCTCACAGAGACAGATTCGAATCCCGCATTTGAAGACCATAGAGAAAAACGGGGAAAAGGAAGAAAGGGGAGGCGAAAGAGGAAGAGACGGGAGGAGGAGAAGCATCATTTCAATGGGATTAAAATTATGGCACTTCTAAACCAGTGAGGAAGACACGGCAAGGCCTTTCCGTCCACTTCTGAGATGGATGCTAAAACTGACCGGTTGATAATCAAAAGAAAATGCAACCTGCCGTGACATGCTCTGTCTCGATGATGGCGTGGCTGCATCTTTACGAAATGCAGGGCTTTGCACACCAGGTACAACCGAAATTAACCACAACAGTACCCCTCCCCTCCCCCTGTGCCATAGTGGAACTGAGCAAGGCAGTTCAAATTATCCTCTCATAACCTCTCAAAAGAGGCACCTCTCTTTCAAGTGCTGTTATTTTTGGTTGCTTCTGTTGCAAAAGTCTCGCAGACAGTAGAATGCGGGGGCCGGATTAAACATCTGTTTTGATTTCTGACCAGACAGCACGAAAGCAGTTTAGGGGGACGCAATCCGAGCAATTTCGAGGGACGAGGAAGTGGGGAGGGGTCGGAAGACAAGTACCACGAGCAGTGTGCATCAAGTTTACCCACTTTTGTATGCCATTATAAGCAGTGTCTCATTGCAGCACTGAAGTGTGCCACCACAGGAGGGCCGTAACCTCTTTCCACTTCTCCTGCTTCCCCGCCCTCCTGCTGCTGCTGCTGGGATGCGCTTTCCATGATGTCCTGGCGCATTTGTTAGCCTCAATACAAGTGCTCCAGCGATGCGCTCGCCTGTCGTCCAAAAAAACGACCTTCAACAACAATAAATCATTTGTGTGGGCTACACGGCGCGCGACACAACAATTTGTTTTGTCTGCACTGCGGCTGATCCCGAACCCTGACAGACAGTGCTGCTGCTGCTGCTGCTACTGCTTGCCCAAAATCCGATGCCGGTGAGAGCAGCAAAACGCTCAGAGTCCGTAAAAACTCGCCCATAATGGAGATTTATAAGTTAAGCATCCCCTCCCCC